ATGAAGCCAGAGGCTGAGGGGAGGAGAAGGAGGAGGAGGAGGAGGAGGTGGTGGTGAAGCCAGAGGCTGACGGGAGGAGGAGGAGGAAGAAGAGGAGGTGGTGAAGCCAGAGACTAGGTGACAAGAGGAAGAGGAGGAGGAGCCAGAGGCTGGAGGACTCTTGCTAATTTTGCTTTCACCTTCCTTTCCCTTTTGACCCTTCCCAAGCAGAAGTGGGACAATTCCTTTTCATCAGAATTCTAGATCTCCGACTTCCAGTGAGCTTTCAAAAATGAGTTTGGGGAACCAGGGGGGAATTCAAGGGCTACCAACTTCTCTTCCTTAAACTCCGGTTTCACTCTCTCCAAAACTCTGTTTTCGACTACAAACGGGAAAATGTCTCCAAACCACCCAACCCCGAAACAAGGCCCGAAGAACTGACTTCTTGTATCCTGTTCTCTACACTTTGAAAACTATCCCGGGGCCCATAATCAAAGACCCTCGTTTCAACCTAAAAAAAGCATCGGAGTGTTGGAAACCCTTCCCCCCTTCCCCCTCTCTTGCAATATTCTTATTTTATTTTATTTGGTTTGTCAATCGCTTACAAGATAATAGGTATAATTAAAAAGATAGTTATGAATACATGGATACATATAAGAAAAATAAAAAGGAACAATAGGACAGGGACGGTAGGCACGTTGGTGCGCTTATGCACACCCCCTACAGACCTTTTAGGAAAGGGGTGAGGTCAATACTAGACAGTCTAAGGAAAAGTTTTTGGGGTTTGGGGAAGAAACCAGAGTCAGGTAGAGTATTCCAAACATTGACCACTCTGTTGCTGAAGTCGTATTTCCTGCAATCGAGTTTGGTGCAATTAACCTCGAGTTTGTATCTACTGTTTGCTCTTCTATTGTTATGGTTGAAGCTGAAGTATTCATTGACAGGTAGGACATTGTTCTCCTGATCTCCATATCTGGTCAGGGATAATGGCATTATTTTCAGCTGTTGATACATCACCAGGACGTCTTGTTCCTTCCCCTGCCCACCCCAAAGAGGTCAATTCAATTCCCTCACTGCAGGCGTCTGCATGGTAATTTCTGCCTTTCGCCAGGCTTTTAAAACACTCAATGAATTTGTGTTGCCATGGTGTGCTTTTGAGTGCATTTGACGCGGTGGGATTATTTTAGAACTCCTGTTTTGTCTGAAGCTGAGATTTCTTGCTTTCCACATACTGGTACATGGACAGGTTGCGGTGCCGGATGGTGGAAGAAGCAAAAATGCCATGGAGGGTTGACTCGTCCTCATGTTTGCGGGCTTGGGAGACTTGAAGACATCACTTCAAGTTGCCCTTTATATTAACAGATTGAAGGAAGGAGTAAGAAGCAGCGCGTTGAGATAGTTAAGGTCTTGCGTTTAGAGTGGTCAAATCAACCCTCAGTCACGAAAACTCATTCGGTGACATCTGGACAATCTTTTCTCTCAGGTCAAAACTTTCCTCAGAGATAAAATCAAGGGACAGCTTCATGGGGGGCCCACCTTGAGCTGGGAGAACCAGGTGGAACTTCAAAGCAAGGCCTTATCATTCACTGCCTTCCTTCTTCCTCCTCCTCCTCCTCCTCAAATATAGCATGAACTCTAGGGGCGGCTGCTGTCCATGGTATTTTGTGTTTCTGTCGCTGTGTTTGGTAAATGCTAGTAGTCTTCAACTTCATTTAGTGACTGTTCAACGTTACAGCGGCACTGAAAAAAAAGGGACTTATGACTGTTTCTCACACTTACAAAGAACTCAATTGTGGTCATAGGTTGAGGACTACCGGTACAATGGTTGGAAATTGATCAAAGAGAGAAGCAACCTGGAATTGAGGAGAAACCTCCTACGAGGACAATTAAACAGTGGAACAACTTGCCACCAGAAGTTGTGGCTGCTGCAACACCGGACGTTTTGAAGAAGAAACTGGACAGCCACTGGTCTTGAATGGTGTAGGGTCTCCTGTTTGAGCAGGGGGCTGGATGGAAGACCTCCAAGTCCCTTCCATCTCATTCATCCTATTCTATTCTATGGAGAAACTTCCTAACAGTGAGGACTATTAACCAGCTTGCCTTCAGAAGTTGTGGGTGCTCCATCACTGGAGGTTTTTAAGAAGAGACTGGACAGCCACCTATCTGAAATGGTGTAGGCCATGATCTCTTGCTTGAGCACAGAGTTGGACTAGAAGACCTCCAAGGTCCCTTCCAGCTTCTGTTCTGTTCTGTTCAATTCTATTCATGTATTATCCTATGTTCTATTCCATTCTGTTTCATTTTATTTACTATTCTATTCTATTCTATTCTATTCTATTCTATTCTATTCTATTCTATTCTATTCTATTCTATCCTATCCTATCCTATCCTATCCTATCCTATTCTACTCTAAATTCCATTCTTTATTCTATTCCATTCCATTCCTTTCTTCCTTATTCTGTTCTGTTCTGTTCTATTCCTCATTGTACTCTACTCTACTCTACTCTACTCTACTCTACTCTACTCTACTCTACTCTACTCTACTCTACTCTACTCTACTCTATTCTACTCTACTCTATTCTACTTATTGTAGGGTTATGTTACCAGAGTCTTGCAAGATTTCCCTTGTTTACTAGTGTTACTCTCTGGACAATTAGGGACATTTCCTTCTGAAATACTTCCCAAATCCTCTCTGCTTCTGTGAGCTCAAATACCTTTTTCCAGGATGGCTGATTAGGCTGCAGCTCTCCCTTCTGTCTGCCAAGGTCCCTCTCACAGACCGGTTGGACTGGTTACAGCATGTCACCTTGGAAGAAAAACAGGGATGAAAAACTTAATAAATACCCTTTTTTAAAATGGCTGGAAATTCCGCCACTTACTTTTTGTTCCAGAGGGTGATTTTTCCCTCGGGCTTTATACAGTCTTCAATAAGTAAAAAAGGGAACGTAAAACAAACAAACAAACATCAAAATAACATTCGAGATCATCTTGTTCTGGGATCTCGTTCCAAACTATAAGACAGTCAGGAGATGAAGGGGCTTTGAGGTATGTTTGTGTCTGTCTGCTGGGAACTGGAGATGACTAAACCGTGATATTTTCTCCAGCTCAGGAAAGATTCTGAGATGCCTGAGCTGAGAAGAAATATGTTTGTACAAGGGACATGTCTCTCTAGTTCACACAACACTGAAATTATGGAGGGCAGGGAATAAAGGCAGACGAACCTTTCTTTCGTGGCAATTCATTTTCCTCCCGTTGAAAAAGCTGAAAGTCAAATTAAGATCCCCTCCGGTGATTACCATGGTCTCAAGAAAATATGACTGTCCCTGGATCTGCTTCCTGGGGACTCTTACAACTCTTTAAATAAAACAAGTTAATAACAGGCTGTGATTTGCCTTTACTAGATAGATAAAGGTAAGGTTTCTGGTGCTCTCTTGAGTGGTGGTTTTCTTGCAGACGTTTCATTACCCAACTAGGTAACCTTATCAGTGCTACAAGAGAGTAGGATTTGAGAGGAGAGGGGGAGGAAGACTATGGGGTTCATGGTAGTCTCTGAGCTTGGTTGTTTTCTGGCAAATATTCCATTACCCAGCTAGGTAACATCATGAGTACTAGAAGGAATTTGCACTGATGATGTTACCTAGTTTGGTAATGAGACGTCTGCAAGAAAACCACCAAGCCCAGAGGGCACCGAGGAGCCTTCATTTCCAACCTGAGCTATAATTATTCTTTTCTCGAAATAGATTGGCTTGAGTTTATGCCGACGCTCTAAAACACCAGCAATGGTTTGCAAGCTACACCCTTGGACTCAACCCTTGTGGTAAACCACAAACGAACCACAAACTGTATCCTCAATGGGTACGATAGACAGACAGCATGTCCAGAGTTGCAATTTGAGAACCACGCTGACATTATGTAAATACTACGTTTTTAAATGTCTTTTTTTGTGAGAGGGTTGTTAAACCATTTGCCATAGGGGACCTAATTAGAGGCATAAGGAAGTAGAGTTTTATTCATTTTCCTCAGTTATGCATTGCTGGAGAAAGTGTGTGTCATTCAGATCCGGTAATTTGTTACTTAGCACAGAAATGGAATTTTGTCTGCTATGCTTGGTTGAGGGATTTAAATTGTGCCCAGAAGGAACAATGATTTAGTAAGCTGTCTTTTTCCATTTAAGACACCACGTGGCTAGGTGCTTCTGAGAAAAGAAGAGATGGAAACTGACGCACAATTCTCCTGAATGGAGAATATTCAATTTATGGAACCTTTTTTTAGGAATCATTCAGACCAAAACTACATCCCTGCCTGCAGACTATAGCTAGTCACATAGTAATTTTTGCTCAGACAAAAGAAGGAAATGGAATAATCGTGTTATCTATTTGGGGGGATTTGTTTCATTTGATCGACGACCCCCCCTTAACAGAGGATTTTAAAAGATCAATTGAAGCCAGAAGGTTTCCTTTCAGGATTAATGGATAAACGCTTAGAAAGAAGATGTGAAAGATGATTTCAAGATATAATTACAATGGGGAGATTATTAGATGCAGATGGGAAGATTTTGATAGTGCCCGTTATGGAAAAATTGCTGGTGAAATTGACAACACTTGAAACTGCCTTTTTTGATTAGAGAAAAGACATTGTCTACATTTATTGGAAGATGGAAAGCTCTTGTGGACTTTTTGTGTAAAAATGAAAAAAAAAAAAGAACGGAACTTGTGACTCGTGGTTTGGATGATTAGACAGGATAGATTATAAAAAGAAGAGTTACATGATCAGGGTTAACATATATTTGAATTTATGATTGCTGTGAAGAATATTGGAACCCCTTTATCCTTCCATCCTTCCTCTTCCTTTTCTTTCTTTCTTTCTTTCTTTCTTTCTTTCTTTCTTTCTTTCTTTCTTTCTTTCTTTCTTTCTTTCTTTCTTTCTTTCTTCTTTCTCCTTTCTATTTCTACTTCCTCCTCTCTTTTTCTTTCCTTCCTTCCTATTCCTTCCTTCCTTCTTTTTCTTTAACTTTTTATTTCCTCACACTTTTTTTTGCTTTCCCTTTGATTTTTTTTCTTCCTTACTTTCTACTGGTTTCTATTTTTTTTTATTATCTTCTTGTTTAATAAAAATTATAGGCAGGAGATACTACACTTGATCTTAGCCAAAAGGCCGAGACAGAAGAAAATGGATTGAACCTCAATAGATGGCAGCACTGAGCCAACCTAGCTGATTTCGGAAAGCAAACCAGAATCAAACTGAGTTAGGAGTTTGGGAAGGAGACCCCAAGGAGAATTGAAGCTAGGTAGGAAACAAAACAAGAGATCACAGAAGGTCCATTCTCTGGCAAAGAGAACTTCATGGATGTCCATCAGGCCACCAGAGTAGATCCAATTTGGATTGGTCACTGGGACTTCTGAACTTTTGGACTTGTGCTGGGCCCAAGTAACAGAATCTCTTCCCCCATTCTGGTGAGAGAGAGGTTCCTGGAGAATGGGTCTCCTCCACGAGTTTGAAAGATGGGAAGACTAAAATCTTTGGCCCCGGTGACCGACCCAGATTGGATCCTGGGACACCTAGATTTGCCTTCACCACACCAGAGTAGAGAACTTCACGTGAAGAGACCTGATCCAAATTGAATCGAAAGAGCTGCAAATCAAATGAAGGTTGAGTTTGTCCTGGTCCCTGCTTGGGGAGGAGAAGCTGAGGGGCATGTTTGGGTGAGTCGATATTTTGGAAGGAAGATGGGAAGACCCAAAGATTAGGGTTTTCTTGATGGATGTCTTGCCTTTTCCCAAACATGTTTTTTTTCCCCTCCTGGTTGATCCGGGAAACCTTTCCCCAAGACCTTCTCTGAACTACCTTTGTCTGTGTGGAACGCGGCATTTTATTTCTGGATGACTGCTGAGTTGCTATGGTTATGTCAGCGGGAGCCAAAATGAAACCTACGGAAAGGTGATTCTGTGCCACATAGATCCAGCTACTTCCGCTTCATCCCAGGTATCCCTTGGCATTTGGTCTTCTCAACATCTCTGCTCCAAATTTTGGCTCCCAGGGCTTGAAGGAACCATAATTACAGCCCTTGGGAAGCCATGAAGCATAGACCCACTAAATCCAGGGGAAATAGAACCCATTGAGAGTGAAGAGACATAGTTTGAGTTTCTGTTCTCCCCCCGACTTCTTGAAAATGTGCTTCACAGCACTACAACCCAAAATGCAGATGACGTGTTGGGATGCACAGCTACAGTATTTTCCATTGTGTGCAAAATGGGAAGTTGGGCTTCTGATGCAGATGGGGAAGGCAGCCTATGTCCTCTTCTGCCCATATACTTCCTCTTCCTCCACTTCTCCTTCTTTCCTGCTCCTTATCTATCTTCTTCATCCCTCATCTATCTCCTCCTTCTTTCCTGCTCCTTATCTACCTTCTCCTTCTCTGCTCATTATCTCTTCCTCCATTTCTCCTTTCCTGCTCTTTATCTATCTTCTTTTCTGCTCATTCTACTCCTCCTCTATTTCTCCTTCTTTCCTGCTCCTTGTCTATCTTCTCCTTTTCTGCTTATGTCCTCCTCCTCCTCCATCTCTCCTTTCCTGCTCCTTATCTATCTTCTCCTTCATCTTTTCTGCTTATCTCCTCTTCCTGCTCCTCCTCTTTCTCCTTCTTTCCTGTTCCTTATCTATCTTCTTCACCCACTCATCTGTGGTATCTACTCCTTTCCTGCTATCTCCTCCTTCTCCTCCCTCTTCTCCCCTGTTCATTATTCATCTTCTCCCCCCCTTCCATTTATTTCTCCTTCTTTCCTGCTCGTTATTCATCTTCTCCTTCTCCCTTTCTGCTCATTATCTGTCCTCTCCTCCTGTTTCCCCTTCTCCCCCTTGCTCCAATGTTCGTCAAAACAGTCATGCTTGGAACCGACTGCTATGTGCCAAATCCTCCCCCTTCCCACCCCAGAATAATCTGATTAGCAAGGTGATCACGCTTGGCTCTGGCTGCAAATAGGGTCATTTGTTATAAGCCTTTCCCAGATCTTGCGGCTGCCAACCAATCTTTACCTTAAAACATCAGGGGGGTAGTGGATCACACGGTGCAGCCCCAGAGTTTTGTGCTGTTTTGTGCTTCACAGGTCATTTGTTAACTTCAGCAGAAAACGACTTCTATGCTATGCTTTTTAGTCTTTAGTCATTCTGGAGGATCATTTGCAGATTTTCCCCCACCCTCCTTCTGCAGCAGCTGAGCTGAGGCTGCTAGTATACTCTTTACTTGCTTTTCACTTAACGCAGCATTTACACAGCCATTAAAGCGTAAGTGAGGTTTATAGCTAAAGCATTTAGTATCACTCCTGTTAATACAGCTCTAGTCACAGTGGAAATTCACAGGGTTTAGCAGCTTTCTTTCTTCCCCATTTTTTTGGCCAAGTATCCTGGCAGGCAGAATTTTAACCGAGGATTAGATTACAGATTAACAGAGTTGGAAGGGACCTTGTAGGTCATCTAGTCCAACCCACCGGCCAAGCAGGAGACCCTATGCCATTTCTGACAGATGGCAGTCCAGTCTCTTCAAGCTTTGACGTTATTGGGGGGGGTGGGGGATAGGTCACAAAGGATCAGCTTGTTCTGACCAAGGCTTCCTGAGACCATAATTAAGCACACGCTTAGTCCAAAAAACTCTTGCTTTATTTCAGTGCTGGGAATTATGTTCATTCCCAGCCAGTAATGAGTCCCAAACAGTCTCTTTAGATAAGCACCCATCTTTCTCTCCTTTGAACTGCTGCCAACAACTAAAGTGCCAAATGAACTGTAAAAAACCAACCGAAGTACAAAGTTCACCCAGAGCTTCGAGGTTTAATCTGAACAGAGCAAATAAAGTTGCTTCCTGCAAAGACTCCTGTCCCTTTGCTCCTCCTTTATGTCTTATAGGAGGGGCAATCACCTCCCGGCCTTACTCCCAAGTCGCCCCTTTTGTCTTAACTGTTCTTGCCTTCTGGCAGCTCTGTGCACACGCGCACTGGGAACAGGCTCCCCTTGTTCCTCTGCCTCGCTGTTGTCAGATTCTGGAAGCTCCAGAATCAGCACATAACTCCCAGATGGTCCTGGCCCCATCTCTGCATCGGACACAGGACCCTTGTCCGAGTCCTCACGAGACTCCCAGACTGGCCCCCATTCTTCCCCACTGACCGATTCCGCTGCCGTCTGCACAGGCTGCCAGCAAACCACAACACAGCTTTAGATCAAGGGGAGATTTTTACAGGAGAAATGGAAAACAAAGAGAGGATTCTTGGCTGGAAAGGATTATTTTGGCTGCAGGATTCAATCTGGGTCGGTCACCGGGAGCAAAGGTTTTGTTCTCAGGAGCTTTCGGATTCAGGGAACTTCAGGTTGTCTTCCACTTTACGACCATCATTGAATCCAGAATTTTGGTGGCTAAGGGAAATGTTTCTTATGTGTTTGCCCCATTTTACGACTTTTTCTTGCCACTTTCCTTAAGCGAATCACTGCAGTTGGCAAATTAGTAATACGCTTGTTCGGTGAAGCTGGTTTCCCCATTGATTTGGCTAGTCAGAAGGTTGAAAAAGGGGATCATGTGACACCTGGACACTGCCACAGTCATAAATATGAGTCAGTCGCCATATGGCTGAGTTTTGATCACGTGACTGTGGGGAATGCTGTGATGGTCGTAAGTGTGAAAAACTGTCCTAAGTCACCTTTTCCTGTGACGCTGCAACTTTGGTCACAAAATGAACTATTGTAAGGACTACCTGTACATCTAAAAAAACTGCACAGTTTTTTTTCTGCTGCTTTTTGGAAAAGATGCGATTGTTGGACAAGCAGGGACAAAAACAGCCAGGGAGGAGACTGAAGCCTGGGAAAAAAGGCCTCTCGCCAGCCAACAGGAGGGCTGATTTACCACCAACCTCTACTTAGAAACAGAATAACTGAGTTGGAAGGGACCTTGTGGGTCATCTAGCATAACCCCCTGCCCCCCAAGCAGGAGACCTACACCAGTGATGGCTAACCTTTTGGGGCTCCTGTGCCAAAAATTGCTCACGCACTTGCATGCCAGCACCCAGAATGCAATGCACGTACCCCCTCCCTATGCCCCCTGCACATGAAATCCCTCCCCGCCACCCCCTTACCTGCACTGGACCTCACAGCTGATTTGAGGTCTTTTTTAGGCCTCCCAGAGGCTTAGAAAAAGCCTCTGAAAGGCTTTTCAGGCTGAATTATAAGCCCGTTTCATGTAATACCAGAAATGATGAAACGGGCCTATAATTCGTCCTGAAAAGCCTTGCAGAGGCTTTTTCCAAGCCTCTGGGAGGTCGAAAAAAGGCCTCAAACTAGCCGAAAAAAATCAGCTGTGAGGCGTGTGCATGCGCAGTGAGGTAAGTTTGTCTGTGGCTGGTGTGCCAGTTCAAATGGCTCTGCGTGCTACTTGTGACACACATGCCATAGGTTCACCATCAAGGCCCTACACCATTTCTGACCGATGGCAGCCCAGTCTCTTCTTGAAAGCTTCCAGGGATGAAGTTCCCACAACTTCTGAAGGCAACTTCTGTTCCATGGGTTGATGGCTCTCACAGTCAGAAAATTCCTCCTTATTTCCAGGTTGAATCTCTCCCTGTTCAGTTTCATCCATTCTTCCTTGTCTGGCCTACAGGTGCTTTGGAAAATAGCCTGACCCCTTCCTCTCTGTGACAGAAGGTGAGGGCTGGGCCAATGACTTAAAAGCCAGCCATTCACACACCCCAGTCAACATCTAAAAAGCCACACACAACCAGGCACCATATAAATACTACACAGAGACCACCACACACTCTGCTAAAGAGAAGTTCCCTGAAGATGGGCTCCAGCATGAATCCAAAAGTTTGGAAGTCTGGTCCCAGTTGTCGGACCTAGATGAGGTCCTGCAACATTATCCTGGGACACGTAGATTTGCCTTCATTTGTGACCATTTTGGTCCACGCAATTGCTCAACGCAGAAAGTTAATTAACTTATGGCAAAGAGGTAACAACCCAACTACTATGATGGTCATTCAAATTGCATTTGCGTCAATAAAATAGAATATTTGTAGCTCAGGGTTGAACTGCGGGGTCCCAGGTGCTCCCCGAGTGCAATTTAATTGTCTAAATTTAATTGGGCTTTAATTTAAATAGATGGAGTTGAAAGTTATTTTAATTTACACTTCGTATCTCATACTAAAGACCATGAAAGCACAATGCGGCTACTATGCCCGCAGTTTAATTGTTCTATATTTTAAAATTCTATTTTAATAATAATAACACCAACACCGGAACTGCAAAAAACTGCACTATTCGGAACATTTTATGTTTTAAGAAGATACTTGGTTGATACCTAGGATGCTGGCAGCAACCCATATCAACCATTAGCAACAGTCACTGGTATTTGTGATACATTTTAAAATGTTCAGTTGACTGAGTTTCATGTTTAATGAATAACAGAGATATCAACAACAACAAAACACCAGTAAAAAAGAGGGCTGTGAAAATATTTACAGACCCCTCACATCCTGGACATAAATTGTTTCAACTTCTACCCTCAAAACGACACTAGAGCACTGCACACCAGAACAACTAGACACAAGGACAGTTTTTTCCTGAAAGCCATCACTCTGCTAAACAACTAATACCCTCGACACTGTCCAACTATTGACAAAGTCTGCACTACTATCAATCTTCTCATTACTCATCGCCCATCCCCTCCCACTTGTAACTGTAGGACTGTAACTTTGTTGCTTGTATCCCTATGATCTATATTGACTGTTTCCTAGTATGATTTGATTGCTTATTGTACCCTATGACTCTATAACCCTATTAAGGGTTGTACCTCGATTCTTGACTCTTGACAAATGTATCTTTTCTTTTATGTACACTGAGAGCATTTGCACCAAGACAAAATCCTTGTGTGTCCAATCACACTTGGCCAATAAAGAATTCTATTCTATTCTGCATTCTATTCTATTCTGCATTCTATTTCTATTTCTACTTTACTTTAACCTTACTTTTTTCCTTTCCTTTACTTATTTTTTATTCCATTCCATTCCTTATTCTATTCTCTATTCTATTCTATTCTAATTCCTATATTCTATTCTATTTTACTCCATTCCTTATTCTATTCTGTATTCTATTCTAATACAGTAATAACAAAATAACAAAAACAATAACAAAAATAAACAATAATGTAATAAATATTATGAAATATAAAACTTTTTTAAAAAAAATTAAAAATTAATTTTATTCTTCATTCTCTTTTTTTAAATATGTGTCTGTTTGTGTGTGTGTGTGTGTGTGTGCATGCATGCTTTGTTTTGGGGGAACAAACCAAAACCAATCAACTTTTGTATTTGATTTCAATACATAAAACTTTCTTTCGAAAACAAACAATACTTCTTCCCAGGCAAAAAACCGCGCATGCGCAGTGAAACGAAAGGAGGCCTAGAAAGAGCCCCTGACTCGATTTTAAACGCTTCTCCAGGTCTTGAAGAACCCGAGGGGTAAGATACGTGTACTTACTCGGGGTGCTTCTCACGTGGGGAAGGAGAGTTCCCTCGCTCTAGAGCGGCGCCTTCCAACTGCACTTCCGGTACTCGCACCAATGAAACCTCGGGATGACCGGAAGGGGCGGGCTTAGGCGCGGCAAATGAGTATTTTCGGAGTCCTCTTTCGGGGCCGCAGGGCGAGAGTTTCTTGTCAGAATCGCCGCCGTCATGGCCAGCCAGTCGCAGGGCATCCAGCAGCTGCTTCAGGCCGAGAAACGCGCCGCCGAGAAGGTGGCCGAGGCCCGCAAGAGTGAGTGTCCGGCTTGGCTGCGGAGGGAGGAAACGGGGCTCTTTCCGAGGGGCTGGGACTACACCTCCCATCGTCCTCAGCCCTTCAGGGAGTAGAGCGGGATGGGTGGGTGACCCAAAGCCTTTCTAGCCCTGCTTGTATGGGCGAAGGGATTGGGACCCCACGTCCAATCATCCCCAGCCATTAAGAAAGGGGAGGTTCCAGAGACACTACATATCCCATCATCCTGCGTGGGAACGCCCCCCCCCTCCCATAGCCTCCCCAGAGGCCTTGCACTGCCTGTTTCATCCCTTTCTCTCCATGGTGGTGGTCTTGGGTGAGTGGGTGGGTTGGACTACACCTCCTATCGTCCCCGGCCTGTAGGGGAGAGCGTTGGTCTACTGTCTTTCCAGCCCAGATTCAGTGGGAGCGGTAGTCCTGAGGGATTGGGCCCCACATATCATCCTCATCATCCCCTCCCTGCTTTTAGGAAAGGGAAGGCCTAGAGCCACCACATATCCCATCATCCTGCATGAGAAGAGCCACCTATAGCTTCCCCAGAGACCTTTACACTGCCTGGTTCATCCATTCGGGGTTTTTTGTCTCATTTCCTTTGTGTGATAGTGGTTGTGTGTGTGTGGTTGGACTACACCTCCCATCCTCCCCAGTGTACAAGCCCCCACCCCCCCACGGGCTACTTTAAAACAAACCAGACCCACATATGTGGCCGCATGGATGGATTCATGCCTTTTCCTTGCCTGCTTTTTTTTTATGGCTCTGGGGTTTTTTAATTGGGTTATTGTGTTTTTGTATTGATTTGCTTGTTTGGCTCATCAGTTGTGTTATTTGCTGGGTTTTAATTAGGGGGAGCTGCCCAGAATAGCACACGAGAGGCGATCAACTCTACAAATTGAATCAATGAAGGAATTGATGCATTTCTGGATAGGAGCAATGCTATGTTTTACTCATTTTGAGGTCGAGGGGTTTACAAATAAGCGGTGGGACAATAGGAGGGATTTTGCCCTAAATTGTCTTTTATTACAGAGAAAAACAGGCTGGAGGTGGTGGGGGGATAGCATTGACTCATTCGGAGGCTGCCTATTTACTTCATGTATTTATTAACCATCTCAAGGTCCATGAATCTGGACAGCTCATAATTAAAAACATACAGTAAACAAAATTATACTGCTTCATTAAAAAAATAAAAGAAAATTATAGGTTACCTTAAGCAAACCTACAAAACTAATAATCCTCCCACTAAAGATAATTGGTGGGATGATTATTAGCTTTGAGGTAGGTTTGCTTGAGGATAATCAAGAAATGTATTCACTAAAGCGTCTCCTTCATTTCTTATTTTTCCAGCTTTTAGTTACCCTGTTTGAAAGGTTTACGCTTTAATTGGGGGAAATTTCCCTCATGTGATATTTGCCATAGCCATAACCTTCCCCGTGTAGTTTTTCCTCCAAAGGTCAGGCTACAAACCCCGTAATGCTGGTTTGCAGGATTTGATGGCCGGTCTATCCAGAGGAAAGGTTACTATGATATATAAAATATTTTGAACAAAACCTAATCTTTGAAACATCTCGCCAACCTATTCCCTAGCAGAGATCTTGGTTTGCATTATTCCTTCTTAAGGGAGGCTCCATTCCAAGAAAAGAGACAAATTGGGAGACGGAGAGACATCCTTCCTTCCTTCCAAGAATAATTTTTGAATTTGGTTACGTAACTTACTTGTGTAAAACCAATTTTAGTTCGCAGACTTCCTGTTATCTGCATAATGTCAGTAGCATACTGATAGTCCCCCGAGATCTACGGTGCATTAGTTTAACTTGATTAAAACTGAATTGAGAAGGTTATGGAATGTTGGTGTATTTTTAAGTACCTTGCTGGGATATCTGTGCTGGGAATTCAGCTTAACTAAGACTGCTGGTTTTTAAATTGTATTTTCAGTCTTCCTGTTTGCATGAATTTTTAATATAGTGGTCTCTAGAACCTTCATATGGCATGATTTCAAGAAAGGAACTTAAGTCTGGCCAAGAATAATGGATCATGTGCTGGAAATGTCGCATTGCTAGGAAAATAATTCTGACTAATGTCTGTTTTTAAGTCTTTAATTAAGTAACGAACTAGAGCCAACTCAAAAACGGGATTGTCTGCACGCATCAGGCTTGATGTTTCCAGTTCTTTGGGCTAACTTTTCGGGAAAAGATGGGCTTCAATATTAGAATTAGAATTCTTTATTGGCCAAATGTGATTGGACACACAAGGAATTTGTCTCCGGTGCAGAAACTCTCAAGTGTACATACAAGCAATAAGTGATAAATCATGATCATAGTCATCATAAAGATACATTTGTCGTAAATCACAAGATACAACACTTAGTGATAGTCACAAAATAGAATAGAATTCTTTATTGGCCAAGTGTGATTGGATACACAAGGAATTTGTTTTGGTACAAATGCTCTCAGTGTTCAGAAAAAGAAAAAAAAATACATTAGTCACGAATCATAAGTAGAACATTTAATAATAGTCAAAGGATACAAATAAGCAATCAAATCATACTAGGAAACATAAGTGATCAAATTGAATTATACCAGTAAACAATCAATTAAAAAAATCATAAGGATACAAGCGACAAAGTTACATTCGTGCAGTAATAAGTGGGAGGAGATGGGTGATATGGAGTGATGAGAATATTAATAGTAATAGTAATGCAGATTTAGTAAATAGTTTGACAGTGTTAAGGGAATTATTTGTTTAGCAGAGTGATGGCATTTGGGAAAAAATGGTCCTTGTGTCTAATTGTTCTGGTGTGCAGGGCTCTATGGCCTCGTTTTGAGGGTAGGAGTTGAAACAGTTTATGTCCGGGATGTGAGAGGTCTGTAGATATTTTCACCTCTTTTTTCACCTCTTTTCAGCCCTCTTTTTGACTCATGCAGTATACAGGTCCTCCATGGAAGGCAGATTGGTAGGAAGTCTTTTCTGCAGTCCTAATTACTCTCTGGAGTCTGTGTCTGTCTGTCTTGGGTTGCAGAACTGAACCAGACCGTTATAGAGGTGCAGATGACAGACTCAATCATTCCTCTGTAATAGGGGTCTCCAACCTTGGCCACTTTAAGACTGATGGACTTCAACTCCCAGGTTTCCTCCTCCAGTCATGTTAGCTCAGGAATTCTGGGAGTTGAAGTCCACCAGTCTTAAAGTGGCCAAGGTTGGAGACCCCTGCTCTGTAGAACTGGATCAGCAGCTCCTTGGGCAGTTTCAGCTTTCTGAGTGGGTGCAGAAAGAACATTTTTTGTTGTGCTTTTTTGGTGACATTTTTGATAGTAGGTGTCCCATTTTAGGTCTTGAGATATTTATTTAGGATACTTAATAAGCAATCAACATAAATCATAATAGCATACCAAGTGAACAATAATAGGTCCCTTTTTGTAACCTCGAACGGTCGTTATACAAACCATTGTAAATCAAGGACTACCTATACAAGGGAAAGCGAGCTGGGTTGAAAAAAGGTGGCCAAGGATATTTTTTTCAAACTGCATTTTGGGGGTAGTTCTTTTTTGTTCCTTCATTGGAGGTCTACCCGTAATGATTTCAGCCTGGATGACCTTCCACAATATGACACTTATCGCTTGAAATTAATCTCAGAAAAAGCCTCTTTTCTGTTTTGCCCTCAGAATGTTTTGCTTTTGTTTCTTTTTTTCAAACCCAGGGAAGAATCGGCGGCTGAAGCAGGCCAAGGAAGAAGCTCAGGCCGAGATCGAGCAGTACCGCCTGCAGAGGGAGAAGGACTTCAAAGCGAAAGAGGCCGCCGTGGGTTAAACTCTAAACTGGCTAAGCTCTCTGTCTTCCTGTCTGTTTCTATCTTAAAACGGAATATTCAGTTGGGATGTGAGATTATTTGTAGTGGCTTCACCCTCCCCCCGCCCCCCTTTTGTCCCTTTGAGGCTCAGCTCTTCTCTCTTGTTCATGCAGGTAGTCCTCAACTTACAGCAGTTCGTTAGTGGCCATTCAAAGTTATAATGGCATTGAAAAATGGGACAGTTATGACCCTTGCAACATCCCCATGATTCTAGCAATAGCCCTTAGACTTACATACTGCTTCACAATGCTTTACACCTCTTTCTAAGTGGTTTTACAGAGTCAGCCTATGGCCCCCAACAATCTGGGTCCTCATTTTACCCACCTCGGAAAGACGGAAGGCTGAATCAGCCTTGAGCCTGGTAGGATTCGATCTGCCAAATTGCAGGCAGCTGGCTGTCAGCAGAAGTAGTTTGCAGTACTGCACTCTAACCATTGCACCACCGAGGCTCTTACTACTTTTACTATTGGAGCCTCGGTGGCGCAGTGGTTAGAGTGCTTTTAGTGCGGCTTGGCTTCAGGTGAATGGCCAGCTATCGTTTATTAGGAAACTAGGTTTCATCTGGGTAGCTGGTTGGGGTGTGTTTGAGCTGGAGGTATCAGGGGGAGTCTGTTTGTGCCCAGGTATTTGCTTGGCTTGTGGTGTGGAGATCTTTTTGTTTGTGAGTGCAGGCTTCCAGATAATTGACAGTCTGGTGGAGTCATCTCTTCTATTCATGCTTTCAGGTCTTTTTTTCAATCTCTTTCTGCCGACACTTCACTACAACTTTAAAAGCACAACTATAATGATGTGCAGAAGCATTGAAGGAAGTGCAGAACGTAACTGGATGAGCTGATTTTAAATGGGGTGCCTTCTTTTTTTTTGGTCTCCGTTTATTGCAGGCGCTTGGCTCCCACGGCAGTTCAGCCACCGAGGTAGAACAGGAAACCCAGGAGAAGATGGCCGTTCTTCAGGACAACTTCCAAAAGAATCGAGAGGAAGTGATAAACAGCTTGCTGAATTTGATCTTTGACATCAAGCCTCAAATCCATTCGAACTATCGGATCAACGGATAGACAAATCTTTGGTCCTTCAGGAAAATATTCAGCAATACCAGCTTTAGCTGCACCCCCTGTTTATCAAGGTGCATAACTTAATTCCCAAGAGGTGTAGATGATCTCTTTCTCTTTTCTCCCCCCCTTTTTTTCCATAAAGTTTTCTTCTTTCCCCCCTTTTGTAGTATTTTGGAAATTTCTATGTAGGCTGGTTCTGTGTGCATTATTTCATAGATGTGTGGTGCAGAAGGTTAATGTCGGATAAATCGTACTGAGTATTAAAGCATCACTTTGAACCCCAAGAAGTATTTAAAAGTCAGTAAAGATAAGTGCCAGGCTGCTTTTCTGTATCCTTAAATTCCAAACTTAGCGGCTCTGATACAAATAAAATTTTCTTCCTTGTAAAAAAATAAACAAAACAGGAATTTTGTTTGCGGAATGAATAGTATTGGGATTGTATCTGAAAATGTTTAAATGTTATTTCAATAATAACTCTGTATTCTCCTGTGGAACTTGAACAAGGTGCTGCTGTTAAGGTACTTGAAGAGCTGATCTGAGCTGTAAAGAAATTAAAACCTTTTTTTCTCCTTTTCCTCCTGCTCAGAAATTTTGATTTGTGAAATATGGATGTGGCTGACTTAAACTGGATTTAGTTTTGATGCAACAATAGCAAAGAAGTTCTTGATCATGTTTGGAATCCACATTGGATATAAAAATAGTACAACATAAACATAAATGTGTGGGTGGGTAGAAATATGGATGGATATAGATGGAAGAAGGGAGATATATAGATAGCAATAGATGGATGGATGGATGGATGGATGGATAGATGATAGATGAATATAAATAGATATAATAAAGATATTTAGATATATAGAGATAGATGATAGGGTTTGATAGATGGAAAATGATAAATATAGATGAGAGTAGAAAATGGATAGATACTGTAGATAGATGATAGATAGTTGTAGATGATAGATAGATGATAGAAATAGATAAATAGAGATGATATTTAGATATATAGATATACATAGATGAAAGGGTTCAATAGATGGAAAATGATATACACTGCTCAAAAAAATAATGGGAACACACAACACCATGTAACTCCAAGTCAATCACACTTCTGTGAAATCAAACTGTCCACTTAGGTAGCAACACTGACAATCAATTCCACATGCTGTTGTGCAAATGGAATAGACAACAGGTAGAAAGCATAGGCAGTTAGCAAGACATCCCCAATAAAGGAGTGATTCTGCAGGTGGTGATCACAGACCACTTCTCAGTTCCTATGCTTTCTGGCTGATGGTTTCTACCGTATGATGCAATATTAACACAATATCAATTGTATAGAATGCAATTGCCCTTGCCCTTTGGAAGAGCTTTAAGAAAGTTCAGAACATTCTCAAAGATCCATCTCATCCTGGGCACGCCCCCCCCCCCCCCCTTTGTAACTATTACCATCTGGTAGACAGTACAGGATAATACAAACAAGGACAAATAGGCTGAAAAACAGCTGCTGTCCCAGAGCAGTAACTGTACTGAATTCTACTGTATAGTGCAATATTCATGAAATATCAGGGGGTTTCCATTCAATTGCATAGAACGTGAAGGGTGTGTGTGTTTATTTTTATAGTCATAATGTAATTTCGTTGTACAAGGTGCAATGACAATGAAGTAAACTAAACTAAATTAAATCAGCACTTCTGCTGACAGATTTTCTCTGAATCAGTGATGGCCTTTGCAAAACCACACAGCTTCACCCATGCTTGGGGGGGGGGGGGGGGGGGGGGTAGAGGGAAGGAAGGAAGCTATATTTTGACAGTGAATTTGCACAATGTAATACGAACCATCTGGGTGTATGCTCACTGCTACTTGGATTTCTGAAAAAGGGTCATGAATTAGAACAAAGTTTTGTAATGTTCTGGCTGTTGCAATTTATTTCTGAATGAATTCAAAAGATTACACAAGACCACCTAAGCTTTCCGGTGAAAACCGACTCCATAAATCCTATATGAAAAATGCTCCGCTCTCGGTACTCTCTCTACCTCTGACATTCATTGTGTTGCTTTAAGAATATTTTGGTGTTTGCAGAACCAACTACTAGCTGTGTAAAAACATCCTTGGCCAACAGCTTACGAAATCTGGCAGCCTTGCAGTTGCAGCCAATTCATAGTCTCCACCAAACTCCTCTTAATGCTTGAATTGTCCAGAGGCCTATCTGTTTCTCCAGGGTTTGTCAATACTTTGACAGAAAACTAAGTGGACTTCAAGGAAATGTTTATGGTGCTGGTCCTTTCAAACCTTCTTTGCAATTGCCCCTAATTTTAATCTATTTTTTTTCTTACCTCGGGCCAGTTTGTGTCCGTCATTTTAGGACAAAAAATACATTGTCCTCACGGACTATGGGGAATCCATTGTTGTATACACTACATTTCTAACATGATAATAAAATGTCTTATGGACAGAGAGCCAGGAGAAAGCATATGGGCCCAGGATGCCAGGCTGGTTTCATTTCTTTTATAATATTACTAGATTTAAAGGAAGTGCAGTTAAGAGAAGATACTTTATCCTCTCTGCTACATTAAACATTACAATAACGGATGACAATAGAGATGGAAGGACTTCTCCAGATAAAAAAAAAATTGATGATCATCATCCATTTAGACCTAGATTGTGTTCGGCACGGATTATTTGTTACGTCTTGCTGGGATGTTTAGAAGCAGTTCCGGAGAAGACGAAGGGCGGGGCAGCTAGACCAAACATCCTCATTGCCAGCCTGTAGGCAGACGTGTTGGGTGTCCTGTCTCCAGCTGTGAGAATCAACTTTACTTTGCGGTCTGATTTCATCAGGTGTTGCATTTGTGCAGGGGAAAGGAAAAAAAAAAAGCCAACCAACCAGACTTACAATTGCATTCTTTCGCAACTGACAAGAATAGCAAAAAGATAAAAAAGAGACGGAACGAGAAGAAAAATCTTGCAATCTGCCTTTGGAAGTGCTTTTAATGACTGGCGCTGAACCTGGTATGCTCACTTCCTCCTAATAAATCCCCCCCCCTTTCTTTCTATCTATCTATCTCTGTTTTGTGTGTGTGTGTGTGTGTGAGAGAGAGAGAGAGAGAGAGCGAGCGAGCATTTTCCTATGGAATGGAGTCATGCTAAGTATAACTTTTTGTGCTGCTAAAACAGGCAGTTGGAGATTCTGTAAAGCAATGCCTCGAGAATCACAACTAGCTTGTAAGTCCTTTATCATCTTCATCCCTGACTCTTAAGTTGCTACACTTTGTTCAACTTTAACAGATGTCTTTCCCCCCCTTAGGACGGGCTTCGTGATTCACTTCCTCTTTCTGTGCTCTACAAGCCTTCTTTCTGACTTTGTGAAGTATATTAAAAACAAAAAAAAGCCGGAACGGGCCGAGGTGAAAGGTAGACAAGCGTAGGCCCCAGAATTCGTAAATCTTTTGAAAAACGATGTATTTCATCTCCTTTAGACAGCCTGAGGGGAAAGCAGGAAAGGGTGGTGCAATCCTCCTCCTTCCTGTGCAATCTAACCGAGTAATCTTAAAGCTGAGTCATGAGAAGCAAACGTTCTTGATTGTGTCTGGTAGGACAATTAGAGTTTTGCAACTGTGCTGAAATTCTAAGGCAGGTTGAAGCAAAACAATGACCAATGCAGTTAACTCCCATTTGATGGATGCTGCCTGCATTAAAAAACAAAACCCACCCACCTACCACCACCACCCCCCGTATTATTCCAGGAATCCATATTTTGTTGGACAGGTCAACTTGGAGTTTCGGTGACACCAGACAGAGATTAGTTACCTTTTGTCATTTCAGGTGGTAATACCTGCAGTGGTACAACATTTGGGGAGAGCAATTTCTGTTCTGGCTTGGTGGAATTTGAAGATGTGCTCCTGGATCATTTCTGAAGCGCAGAACAGGGAAGCAGCCAATCTAGGAAGGCCCTTTATTTAGCCTTTGTTGCACGTAGACTGAGATCACCTGGAAAATAACTCACGCGAATACAAGTTGGCAGAGCTGGAAAGAACTTTTAAGAACCAAACTTCTGAAAGCAGAGTGGAAAAAAAAGAAATAAACAAACCCACAGTTCTGTGGAAAAGCTTTGGATTTTTCCAGGGTTGCTTTGCAGGACTTGTTTTGCATAGCTCGGAGGTGTGCAGCCCCGCCCAGGTGCTTGTTGAGAACATAGGTATTGCTTCAGACTAATGTCTCAATAGAGTCAGAGAAAGACCTGCAGCAAGCTAGAAGAAGTCGGGGATGAAGCTTGGTGGACTTCAGAGGTCCATCTACTGACTTTTCAATCTCGACCTGCAGTTGTCTGTCTTCTCCTGAACCCTTACCTGGAGGAAATGAGCTGATTGAAAGTTTTGTTTCTCTCGTCCTGAAAACAGTCGGGATCTTCAAGGAGGAAAGACTAGACACTGACAATTCGCTGTTGGGTGAATTGCGAGCGGAACACCTGTTCAAGATGCTTTGTGGTGGTGACAAAGGTGGTGAAGAAGAAGAAGGGCTACCTGTTAGCATCACTTATTGTTGGAATAAAGGAAAAAAGCACCTGGATTTCTGGAGAAACGGTAAAACCAGTCATTTGACACCATTGGCAGGAAACATGGTGGTAGCCATCATAACGTTGACCTGTTTTGGGGGCTTTTCTTTTTAATCGTTTCAATTTAATCTTCCGTTTGAACGGAGAGCAGCTTTAATGAACAATAACATTAAATGAGCACCATTATCCTACCGTACGAGCTGGGGTTAAGATAAGGATGGAAATATTCGTATCAACCCCGATTAGATCCTCTCTGGTTACTTTCTTAAAATGCAATTTGATGGGGTTTGTGATATCTCTGGGTTTTCATGCTTTCGTGACCTCTTTGGGATCTCCGCAAACTGCCAATGTCAATATCGTGCAAGCGTCATCCTGTTTTAACGGCCCCATAATCTCTTGCGGGATGGAATCTGGGCAACTGAAGGGAGCTAGCAAAGTGTTTTTTTAATGGCCAGATGCCCTTCCCGTTGCCAATGTGGAGTTTTGTTCAGCAGACATATTCTCATTGTGCCCAGAGAGAGAGAGAGAAATATCTGCCTCTACCTAGGATTGAATTCACAGCCTCCTGATTGTGAGGCCGGAGCTCCACCTGTAGGCTACCACGCCACTCGTCAAGATCATGCAATGCAGGGACCAGATCGGATTGTGTTCATTTAGTGACCGTTTGAAGTTTCGATGACACTGAAAACAGTGACTCATGGGCATTTTTTTCACCCTTATGGCCATTGCAGTATCCCCGTGGTCTTGCAGTCAGAATTTGGATGCTAGTCAATTGGTTCACCTTTACGACGGTCGCGGGTCATGTGATCCCCTTTTGCGACCTTCTGGACAAACCAAGTCAACAGGGAAGCCAGATTTACTCAACGACCATGTTACTAACTTAACAACAGAAGGAAGGCATGTCGTCAAAAACGGGGCGAGTTCACTTCACAAATGTCTCGCTTAGCAACATGAATTTGGGACTCAATTTGGAGGACTGGGTTAAATGCACGAATGATTACATTTGAAATAGGTTACTTCCAAGGTTTTTGTTAAATCAGTCACAAAGACCGGAAGCTTCTTTCATTTAGAACAAGGGTTAAAGGTTAGAATTTCCTTTGCGTGGAAAATATTGCAGGTTCAGCTCATCGCATTGCTAAACTGTATAAAAACGATATGTAGTTATGTCCCATTGTTCCAGGAGAAGGCATTTTTAATTTACCTCTTTCAAAAGGAAGCTTTGTCAAAATCCACAAAACTCATCGTACCTTTGACAAAATCCATCCTTTTGTGTGTGCGTGTGTGTGCTTCAGTGGTGCTCATCTTAAACATATTGTCAGGATTTCGGCAGTTACTCCAATTAAATCATGAGCCTTGAGCCATGCTTCCAAAACTTTAAAGGGTTTATTAGAAGTTAACACGCCGGCAGAATGTGTTATGAGTTGATACATATATTAGCAAAAACATCTTTGATCTGCTCGTCATTTCCCCAACGCAGTTAAAATATTCTTCCGAATGTTTCTTGGAGATTCACAGATGTGCACAATGCACGATTCCTCCTCTGCACCATTAGCGATGTTTCCCAAAAGCATCACTTGATGAAACCAGGCTGAAAATGTGGATGTTCTTGTCTTCCAAATTTTATCCAATAACTCTTTCCCCTCCTCCACCAAATCTGTCATGCTGAAAATGCACCTGGAAATCGGAATCTTAATGGAAATTGACAATCACACGAGACACAGAAGTGGGTAATTTGGAACGCCAGCGCTGGGAAGACATTTCAAATAAAGCTTCTATTAGGCAGACAGAAAATAGCTGCGTTGGCTGGCTTGCCCGTGGCACTAAGCCCCGGCTTACTCAATAAGCCAGAATTATCTTGATTAACCGAGCCAAAATGCACCGAGCCAAAATGTGGTGAGCTTGGGTTTTGCCTGAGTGGATTGTGTGAACACAAGTGTGATGCTTGTTCCAAAGGGGGATTTTTTTTCAAGAGGCAACTGGACTTTTTTCCTTGAAGACGTTTCACTTCTCATCCAAAAAGCTTCTTGCATTCTGATGGAAGGATTCCGTCAGAACTGAAGTCAGAACTGAAGAAGCTTCTTGAATGAGAAGCGAAATGTCTTCAAGGAAAAACAGAGAAAGTCCGGCTGCCTCTTGAAAAAACCCCATTGGGACAACCATGATTTGAACGACTTGAGAATCTCTGTAGATATTTGTACACCATGATTGATGACATACTGTAAATTGTGCAATTGATTAGCTGTGAATTATGTAACGGACTAGCTGATGACATACTGTGAATTGTGCAACTGATAACCTGAACAATTATTTTTCTCAACTGTTGCATTGCAGACTTTCTAAATGGACAGGTTTTTATGGTGCTGACAGCTCACAAGCCCCGTGGTTGTCCTCCTGTCATCATGAATTCTTGGCAAGAAAAACTGAAAACGTTGGGAATAGAGGTGAGGCTTTCAGTCTTGTTGAAACCTGCAGCAGCAAAATCAATTCTTTTAACAGATTCCCATTAGATGCAACAGCAAATTTTTATCTCCTGCGTGCGTGCACATACATGTGTTTTTGTGCAGTATGAGACAATATGTATATAAAATAGCATACATAGGTATAAATATCTACTTCAGGTAAAGCTGGAACTCCTAAGGACTCCATGCTGTTTGCTGGTTAGCTATAAATGTGTACGTTTTTTGAGCCTCTTCCCAGCCCAACTTGGCAATCCTGAAATTAACTGGCTGTTTGGTCACAGGTCCTAAAGGGGCCATAGTTGGCCAACCCTGTTCTATAGTGACAGATTCGCTGATGGATATGCTTAAATGCCTCCAGGGAATGTAGGAAATGGAAGCTCACCTGATACTCTGTTACCTGCTTAAGCAGAGGTTTGGACTAGAAGACCTCCAAAGTCCCTTCCAACTTATTCTATTCTATTCTATTCTATTCTATTCTGTTCTGTTCTGTTCTGTTCTGTTCTGTTCTGTTCTATTCTATTCTACTCTACTCTACTCTACTCTACTCTACTCTACTCTACTCTACTCTACTCTACTCTACTCTACTCTATTCCTTAATCTATTCCATTCCATTCCATTGCAATCTCTTCCCTTCCCTTCTCTTCCCTTCCCTTCCATTCCACTCCATTCCATTCAACACTCTTATCCCAAGTACATTTCCCATGCTCTCCTCCTCCAGTTCCAGACACAAGTGTGATGTTGTGCGATTATCCGAACAGGTGACAGAAGACCAGTGGGAAACTTTGATACAACAAGCTGTGCTGGAGCCAGAAATGAGAACGTATCTATTGTACAACTCCAGAGGAATAAGGATGGGCATTGCTGCAGTAAGAACCCTATACAACTATGGGGGGAGGCACAATTGGGGCATGCAGTGCTCTGTTGGTGACAGGTAGTCCTAAACATACAACAGTTCCATTTAGTGACCATTCAAAGTTGCAACATTACTGAAAAAAGTGACGTATGACTGTTTTTCACACTTATGACCATTGCAGCATCCTCATGGCCACATGACCAAGATTATGGTCTAATGTGGGCTGAATCTATTGAAACTTACTTTCTTTCTTTCTTTCTTTCTTTCTTTCTTTCTTTCTTTCTTTCTT